GGTGAGAGAGGAATTAAAAATAGGTTTATATAAAGAGAGGTGAATATTCACATTTGATTGCACTCCAAATCAACTGCTGATGAGTCGATATTCTTAATGAGCACTGCTCTGGGTAAAGTCACAAAGCTTTTTCAAAAACCTTCTCTATTATGACATTTTTCTCATTCTAGAGAAAGACAGCAAGAACTCAAAAGCCCACCAAAATAAGTTGCCTGAAATACAAACAAAGATGTTCGCTTCTCTTTTTGTCTTTGGAATAACAATAGGGTTATGGCAAAACATTAGTGCTAATTATGAGAAATGGTTACATGTATGTTTCTATAAAACTTACAAATAACTGAAAAAAGATAGTCATAAAATAACTGAAAACAAGGAAAGCAGATATATCCAACAGCAGAAGTCATTCTTCAAGGAAAAAAGACTCCCACTAAAGATCCGGGTTTGCGGAATTGAGGACAATCACTTCATCCTTGCGCCTGGTGCCAATGACTGCAGTTGTGTTGTGAGAATTGAGATGCTCATGCGGCAATGTGGCATGTCGTGTAATTTCAATAGTTCAACCATCAAATTCAATGGAAAGAGGGGCTAGTCAGTAAATAACAGCAAAAGAAAATTTAAAATATGTCAGAGAGTAGCTAGTTTATGATGAGAGAGTTCCTCTCTCACCATCTTCCCCACATAGCGTGTTTAAATTAGTGATAATTTAATGGTCTTGTGCAGAAGTCTAGATTTCCTTAAAATGTCAGTCTTAGGAAAAGGACTCGGAGATCAGCAAACTAGACGTTCTGCTGCACTGAGCTCCCGCTAACTCGTATCTGTGTTTTCTTTTCTAAAGGGTTCTTAAATACAACTCCGAATCACCCACCACACCTACTCTTTACTTTCTCCTTCTATGTCACCTCTCCTTCCTCGTTACCCACATCGAGCTCATCCATCTTCATAAGCGAGCTCAAGTTCCATCTTCTCCCTGAAGGCTTTCTGGACTAAGCTCGTCCTCCAGTCTCCCTCTGCTCTGCTTTTCCTGCCACCTAACTGGTAAGCGATAGTATCTTGCCTGTCTTAATAAACTTCTATTCAGGCTGTCGTATATAGGCTTAAATAGCAGCTCAAAATGTCTCTTGGGTCTTGAAAAACCTAAACATCTCTGATACTTCTTTGTATCCCTTGGGCTTTGGGGGACATGATGCACAGTCAGGTAAACATTTTACATCATATTCCAATGTATATCTCCATATAAATATGATTTTTTAAAGTCCTGTGAACAATATTTACTTTTCCGTTTTGTTCTACTTTCTGAGGAAAAAGAAATTACAATCAGATCTACCAACATGACTTCACAATAGATTGTGTCCTGTGCTTTGAGATGCACAGTTCTAGAAGGGTGGTTATTGATTACTTATTGAGATTATTATGTTTTTTTCTCATATGAAAATTATTGTACATTTTAGATATGACTTTTGAGGTTCTGTTCAGCTAATGCTCCTGGGTTGTTTGCTCATCAGTTTTTAATACCACCATACCATTGTCATTTGGGACAATCGCATAATTGAAATATCAATCTTTTGGCCTGGATACTTTTGTAATTCAAAATAAGTTATCCTGCCTTACAACAGAATCCATTTCTAGAAAATACAAATTTCCATTGGCTCACTATTCCTTTGATCTGTATTCACATGAGAGTGGGTGGTAGATATTTCATGGGTGAAGAAATCGAAGCACCAGGATTATGACTTTCCCAAGGATATTTCTCTATTCTAAGTAGACTAGAGTAAATTAGGGGAGTTGTGGAGGAGTTGTCCAGCAAGTGTGACACTAACTGCCAAGCCTTCAGTTCAAACTCACCAGCTGCGCAGAGGGACAAAGATGAGGCAGCCTGCCTCCGCGAAAAGTTACAGCCTCAGGAACTGTATGTGGGGTTGTTCTGAACGGGATCGGACTTGATGGTGGCGAGATTTGGTTTGGTTTTAGGCCATTGTAAATTAAGGTACATATGTTTGATGAAGGAAGGCTGAAGAAGTGTTGCCTGTGAATTGTGGTTCTGGTGAAGCATACTGAAAACATCAGGGACTGCCAGAAGGACAAACAAATCTGTCTGGGTAGAAGCATGGCCAGAGAGCCCATTAGAGGCAAGGATGGTGAGACGTTATCTTACATACTTTGGACATGCTCTCAGGAGAGGCCAGTCCCTGGAGGAGGACATCGTGTTTGTTAGAGCAGAGGGGCAGCGAAGGAGAGGAAGGCTTTGACAAGATGGACTGGCAGAGGGGTTGCATCAGTGGTGCAGGACTGGGTGGTCTTTCATTGTGCTGTGCAGGGGTCGTAACGGACTTGATGGCGCCTAGCAACAACAACATGGTTTCTAGATATTTAAGGATATAAAATCGAGAGATATAAACAGCACAGAGCCTACATAGGAAGACACTTGTCTAATTCCTTTGATTTAATGGCGGACTAACCAGATAAATAAGAAGCCCTCTTGGACTTTGGTTTGGGGACAGATCCTGCTTGCTCCTCCATCCTCATCTTCCCATCTTTATCCAAGCATATATTGCTTTTGAGAGACTACCAAGAGTGATTTGTGTTTCTGGGGCATTTGCACATGTTGTTTCTTTTATCGGGCACCTTCCCCTCTCTTCCTCTCTGAGGCAGTTCTTCCCCTCCTCAGGTCTCTGGAAATCTCTCCCTGCCTAATTCTGGGGGACGAGGAAAGGGTGTACTGCCTTCCCTCGCACCAGCTGCTCACCCTGTCCTAGGAAGCCCTAAAGAACGCTTGCTGGCCGTCTTCCTCCCATGTTTTGCCCTGTGAGACTGCATCTCATTCACCCTTTTCTCCCACAGTTGAGGGCCTTGTCTACTTCAGGAAAAATACATGTTGAATGTCTGAATGAACCAGTGAATGGACAAGTAAATAAATGAAAGGAGCCACAAAGAGCAGATATAGCAGCGATGGAACATATTGAGCTGTGTTCTGACTCTAATGCCAGTGTGTTGTGATTTGTGTGTGTGTGTGATTCTTTGAGTGATATTTTCGTGCTTGCCAATAGGCTACAGATTTTGTGACTGGAATTCAAACATGAAGCATGGCTGTATCTAAATCTACTCTTGCAAGTAATAGTAATCTGTGGCATAATCAAGGAAGCGGCACAGGGATAAATAAACATATTGGGCAAGTGTTTTGAGGCAATTAACGAGACCCCACAAATTTCAGCTCGTTAGAACCCACCCCACCCTCCAATTGAGACTTATTTGATTCATCTAGTGCTTCGGTTCTCCACTTCCCATATGAAACAGATGCAGCTACTATTTTGCCTTCAGCATTTCCATAAAAGCCTGGTTAGTGATTAGGAGAAGCCTCACCACTTATTCCACTAATTCCTCTTCAATAGCACCTGAAAAGTATTCAAAAGAACACTGAAAGCTCACCGTACTTGAGTACCTCTACTCTGTTTCCAAAATAAATTTGTATGATCTGACATCTAGACTAGCAATGGAAATTACTACCTATGTCCACTTGGTTTACGAGTAAACATCCTATCCTCCCCACCCGAGGAGGGGAAACTTGAAAAATCCTGAGCCTTTTATTCAAACGGACATTACCGCATTCAAAATCCTGCAGATAGCAACAGAGAGATCCACTACCCCTTCCCCCTACCACCACATGCTGTGATTTCATGTGTCTGTATTCCCACAGTTGTTACTTAGGACAGATGGGGGAGGGGGGCGGAGGAGGGAGGTGGGAGAGTTTATAACCAGAGAATAAGCACATTGGGTAGACTTACACTCGCAGTACTACCAAGGAAAAATATGCAGCAGCACCAACAGAAACAAACAAAAGCCCATGCAAGAGATGTGTAAATATTTCATGATGCCAAGCCTTAATCAACTCTCTCCAAATCTTGCTGGGGCTGTAAACACTTTGGTTTCTTCCAGTGCCACCATGACCCAGATTCCTTGCCAAAACAAAATGAAAACCATGGACCAATGGTTCTTTAACAACCGTGCTCTGCACCAGATGAGACGGCGCATGTCCCAGGATTGCTGTCACTCGAGGAAGAAGATGCCACAATCAAGGTGGTTGCTTCCTGGGGGACTCCTCATGGCTCTGGTCTTCTCTGCCCCACCCCCACCCCGCGCAACCTTTTCATGTTCCTTCTTCCTCTGCTGCTTTGTGGACATTCTCATCATCTTAACCTTGAACTGCCTCCACCCTCAGCACAGACTTCTCACAACCCCTCTCCAGCCCCTCTAAACCAGTTGGTGGATTTGCTATCTGAACCATCACGGAAAATGCACTTTTCAAGGCCCGTTGAGTGTCCTTTTCTTTCCACTCTCTTTCCCTGCCCATTGTTGCGTCTGAAATGTTCCCTACAGCATTTCCCTCTGCCTGAAGAGCAGGCAGATATGCTGTGTGTAAGCAATCCCCTCCAGCCCTTTGCAAAAACAAATAAATAAATAATAAATGATATGTCTATCTGAAGAACATTTATAGCCTGTAGTCTCTACCCTGATTTAATGTGGTTCCAAAGTTCACCTCTAGACACTGAACAGGTCTCTACAGTGATTTCCCCTGATCAACCTCTGCCTGTCCTTCCTCTTCTCTCCTTCTCTCTCCTCCTACCGCAAGACAAACTCTACATGTGATCATACATGTATGCATGTCTATGTGTATGTGCCTGCATCAACGACATCTAGACATACACATTGTTGTACATGAACGGACAAGAACAACTCAGTCTCTGGTATAAAGGAAAGCTAACTATTACAACATCAGACCTGCATATAGGTATGATGGCTATAGTGTTTGGACCTTACAGGAAAGAAGCCTAGACAAATGAAAATGCACACACACACACACACACACACCTCTATCGAATATGCACAGAGTATGCAGACCCAATTATAAATGCTAAACTCCAGCCCAAGAACATCAGGCGTCTTCTCCAGGTTTACCTTCAAAGCCAGATTCAAAGGGAGAGATGACCTTGCAGAGAAATCCATACCTGGGCAGGAGGGGGCCCTTCCTGGAGTGCAGCATGGGATGAGGACTGGAGCAACAGGCAAACGATCACCCAGCAAAATGTGGGACTGGTGGGACTGGATCCACGCCCCAGCAGCGCGGAGCACACACCGCACAGTCCTGTCCCTCGGGGCTGGACGCTGAGCAGAGGCGGTTTGGAAAGCGGGGGGCGTGTGTGTCTGTGTATGTGGCGCAGGGGGTGGGGGGACGTCCGTCTTCGGCCGCGGCCGCCGGTCGCCTACCTGCTCTCACGCGGCTCTCCCCAGCCTGGCGGGGCCACTGCCTGCGCGATGGCGGGGTCGTCCCGTCTCATTTCCCGACCCGGGCTCTGGGCGCCGCCGCCCGCGGGCGAGCCGGGCTCGGAGGTTGCTGCGCGGAGCGCTGAGGCGGCGCCGAGGCGCGGCGCGGAGAGCGGGGGCCCCACCG